TGTCAGCTCTCCGCTAACAAGCTCAGCGTGTCAATGCTGCTAACACTGGATGTTTCTGCCTTGACAACAAATGGAGATATAGCCATCTTTTACCTTTCACTTTTAGTTAGATGATGCTGGGAGGGGGGATGTGAACGAGAGCCCAGCTAGACATAACAACATTAAACTTAGCGTGAGAATTAAGGTTATTGTAACCAGACCTGATAAGGACTTGGCGGGCTGGAGAGCTGGAGAGGAGGCCCTCGCTTCAAGCTAATTGGGGAATGTGGTTTATGACTGTTAATTGAAGGAGGGAATTGTGCTTTGATACTGTGTGCCCAGGGGAGGGGAATTCAGTTTTTGACTTCGATTATGTTAGTGCCGATGTTATGCTTCTCGAATAAAGATTCTTTAAGGTAAACAATGCCTCAAAGTTCTTTGAAGACTTTCATCTGTCAGAACCATGACACAGCGTCTTTAAACACTGGGCCATCACGCCGCCAGGTACAAAACAGCATAGCATAAAACCATGAAGACGACATTTTATCAGCTGAGCACTGAAAGCCTCTTGAGAAATAATGGAAGCAGAGACATACTTACTGCTCTCTCCGAGGACATAAAACCACGCCCGATTATTCATCCCCACGGCCAAGTGATAGGGCCCCACGGCGATAAAATTGGGCTCCACTTCAACAGAAACTCTTATCGGTGGTTCCTGCCAAGACAGACCACACATGGCTTGTCCTGAGGACTGAGTGGGCTAAGTCAAAACCTTTACCCCTGTGCAAATTTTATAAGTGACTAAAGCGTCATACACTTTCAATGTAGTTGGCCACCGTGACCTCAAGGAGGGAGGTGAGATAGGCGATCCGGGTGCCATACGAGGCTCCAAGGATGGGAAGGTTTGTTAAGAAGACGTGGATGAATCCTCGCTTGGTAGACACCGCCAACAATTGTCCATCGTCTGTCCACGACAGCTGATCTAGACCTAAAATATTAATGATATCGCATTGAGAAGTTGTCTTGGAAAGCAAAAATAATAACAAGGAGGAGGAGGAGGAGGAGGAGGAGGAGGAGGAGGAAGAGGAGGAGGAGGAGGAGAAGNGAGGAGGAGGAGGAGGAGGAGGAGGAGGAGGAGGAGGAGGACTGTGGGGTTCTTAGTGCTCTCTGAGCTTGGTTGTTGTAAGTCAAGAACTACTTGCATATTGATTGACATATGAATCAGAGATCTTGGGCGGAGTTGTGTGTTGTATTTCTATCTCTGTCTGTGTGTGTGTGGTCAAGATTACATCAGGCAATGAATTGGTTAAATCTCTTTCCAAGCGGAATGTTACAGGGAAAAAGATTTGAGAGCTGTATTTTATAATGGATAGTGGACGTGGCAGTGCCTGGAGACAGCAGAATAGACGAGAAAGAACTGGAGAAGATCACAAAATACAAAGACCTACAAATAGAAATAGAAAGACTAGCAAAAGCAAGCAAGGGTAGTACCAATAGTAATAGGGGCCTTGGGTGCAATCCCAAAACAATTGGAGCACCACTTGAACACCATCATCGGCATTGATAAATTCGCCATTAGTCAATTGCAAAAGGCAGCCTTATTAGGAACTGCTTCCATCCTGCGACGAGATCTGTAATACCATCAAACATCCACATCTGCCTATCCCAGGTCCTTGGGAAGGACTTGATAGGTAGACAAAAATGTCAAATCTGGTCTGAACATCTGGCTGACTGTGTGATGATCAATAATAATAATAATAATAATAATAATAATAATAATAATAATAATAATAATAATAATAATAATAATAATAATAATAATAATACAGGTCTTGCGCAAAAGTGCATTTTGCAAAGCCCTGTATCTCTGCCACAGCACACAAATTAGAAATTCTGGATGTTATAATTCCAACTCATCCAGAGGCTGGCAAGTTAGAAACGATTCTTAAGGAATAACTTTTACCATCTGTGCGCTTGATTTACTTACTTAGAAGCGCATATCCCCGACAGCTCTGGGGACGTTACAAAAACACATCAATCAAACTAACTAAAAAACCCAGACGTGAAAAATCTCAGAAGCTCTAAAAGGACATGCTAGAAAGGTAGGTTTAATCCCTTTGCCAAACAACCATGAGGACGGAACTTATCTCAACCTCAACAGCCATTTATTTCATACTAAGGATCCCATCCTTAGAAAAATCCTAACTTGGTGGGATTTGCAAAAAAAATGGGAAACCTGCAGGAAGGGCTGAGCAGAAATAGGAGGTCCTGCAGGTAATTTGGGCCCAAGATATGTGGTTGATTATGGTTTCTTACTTATTCCACAGAAACAGATCTTCTTTTTAAGATCTTAATTACAGTGCAAAGCTAAGGAGGAGCCTGGAATTCCTCAGCTCTGCAGATCTAATAATTCTCTAAACTTGGGACAACATGCACCAGTATTTTGGCTTGTGTGTTTCCCTCTTCTCTTCACATACAGAGGGGAAGAAATTAAAATGTGAAACTTCCTAAAGATCCTGACCTGGGGGATGCTATAGCTTCAGCAAACTATCTTTTTTTTTTTTTTTTGCTTTATTCCAGTGTAAGGGCCCTCTAAGACAAGGCTTTTCAACCAGTGGTACGGGTACCACCTGTGGTACATTGGCACCTGGCAGGTGGTACACGACCATCCTAGAAAAGTGGTAGCGGGGGAGGGGAATGAGCTGAACCGGTGGCAGCACCGCACAAGCCTGAGCGAGAGACGGCTGGAGCTACAGGGCTGTCAGGGCTCAGCGGAAGCGCCAGGATCAGCACTTCTTCGGGACTGTCAGGGCTCAGCGGAAGTGCCAGGATCAGCGCCGGGCTCCAGCTGGAGCCCGGCGCTGATCCTGGTGCTTCTGCTGAGCCCAGAAGAAGCGCCAATCACCTGGAATGTTGCAGCATCTCCTGGGTCTTGTGATTTACATTCAGATGCTTGGCAACTGATTCATGTTTATGACGGTCAGTGTCCCAGGGTCATGTGAAGTGACCAAAACCTGCTGCAACCACCCAGCAGAGGGGGGGGGAATAAAAACCAAACACCCCCCACCCCACCCCCGCTGCCAATCCTCAACAGAAATGCTCAGAACAATGAAAACCTCGGACAGGAGGAAGAGCACCGCTGGTTGGGCAGGCAGGTGTCTTGCTCGGCTGTGGCTTGGGGGGCACTTTTTTCAGTGCCATTGTAACTTCGAAGAGTCACTAAGCGAACTGTTGTAAGTCAAGGACTACCTGTACTTTATCACTTTTTTTCCTTTTTTTTTGGTCATCAAGTTTTTGACACCTTGCTAGGCGACTGGTGGCACTCGGATGTTGCCATATCCTAAAAGTGGTACAATGGGTGAAAAGGTTGAAAAGCCCTGCTCTAAGATTTGTTATTAACTGAAAACTGAACCAAATGGAAGTACGAAAGATGCGATGTCACATTGGATGCTGCTCCTTTTCAGACCTCCAAAGACTCTTGTCAGCAAAGCTCAGCATTGAGTAGGCACTGAAAAAATCAAGTCTTGCTTAATCAAACACCAACCATTAATTGGGCAAGCTATCAAACCGGGAAGCTGTCAAACCTTTATTTTCATCCTCCAAGTTTATGATCGCACATATCTCCGTCAGATCTGACAGGTTGTGAATCTTGACGCTACAATAAAAAAGAAAACCAATTCCTTCAGTATTCTCAGTTTAACAATAAATCACATAACATCAGTTAGGCAAACACAGAGTTTCTTGACAGCTGCTTTCAAAATTGAACCGGTAAGATGGAATAAAAAAAATAAACTCTTCACAGCTAAACCTTTAAATTGTGAAAAAAAATATACAGAATCATGCAGGCAACCTTTCTTTTGGATATTTGCTTTGTTCAGGCTAGCAATTATCAACTATTTGGGTCTCAGGAACCTTTTCCATTCGTAAAAAACAATTTATCAATGGTTTATGCGTTGGCTTCTTCTATTTCTGCAAATGTAAAATTCTGACGTCTTAAGGGCAAGTCTTCTCATAAACTTAAAAAAATTCTGTGACAACAGTACTCGCATTATTTAAATGATCTTACATGGACATATTATGCCTCACCAGTTATCTCCACATGATGCAGCTTTGTTTAGTGATTCAGATATTGCAACGCTGGTCAAGTAATCTTTATGATCCGAAGCTTGGAAGATCTCATGACCAATCTCTTGAACCTGCGTTGAAATCACCACGAAGTAGCCCAGCGAAAAGCCAATCATGATATAATTTTCACCGTACCTGCAAAGACAATAAATTGAAGCAAAAAACTCTCAGGCATCATTTACCTCCTGAGAGAAATAATGTGGAGATCACCTTAAACTGTGAAATGGCTAAAGAATTGAACACGATCAGAGAAACAGAAGAATTATTCAAAAATTAACTTAAGTTACACCAGAAGACAAGGTACTGAGAGAGGCTCAGTTAGAAATCTCTTGTCAGGGATATTACATTTTAGTTTGTAAAATATTCAAATCTCTTTTGTTAAAAAAAGTAACCCTCCCAAAACCAACTGAATAAAACATTCCAAACACCAAACTCACTTTAACATTAAGAATTAAACTTCCATAGGTTGACAGATTGGGTTTTCAGCTCACAAAAACAAAACGAAATATATTTGTTTTAAATTGCTACACAGTGCTCTTCGTTGTTTGTGGTTGTTGCAACTGACTAATGCGATCACTCCAGAGAAACATTAATACTTTAGGGGGGGGGGGGTACTTACAATTTGTAAGATATTATCTTTCCATAGCATTTTTGAAATGCTAGTTCAATTGGCTTTTCCGGGTCTTGGAAGTTATAAAAATATAATGTTTTTTGTCCAACTACAATGCACACCTGACCAAAAAAAAAAAAGAGAGATTCTGAATGAAAACAAGAATATTTCCCATACAGATAGCCACGTTTTCTCTTGTCCCAAAGGTGCTTTCCAAAAGGCAATCTGACTTCCTTGATTTTTCTTAAAGACATTTCACTTCTCATCCAAGAAGCTTCTTCGGTTCTAACTAACTTTCTCAATAAAGAAAGTAGAAGATGAATATAAAGAGGTGGTGGTTTTCTTTTTTTAATAAACCATTAAACTTTATTAATGTTAAAGACAAACTGAATAACGACAGGACCAAGTTTGAAAGACTGACAAATACTAAGAGTTAATTTTTTTTTGCCCAGTCCAAAATCTCTTGTATAAAGATACTGCCATGCCACTTATGAAATCTGAACAAGACATCAGGGGCAAAAGTCAAATGGAAAGAGAGAACGATTGCAATTTCTTTTTAAAAAATATATCTCTGTCATACAACTAGGAAAAAAAACCTATAGTTTAATGGCAGAATATTGACTATACTTCACAAGCAAAGCTTTGCAGGATAAACTCACTAGAAACAAGCTGCCAGGGCAACAAAGATTGGTTCTGCTAATTTCAAACATAATTTCAAATGGATTTTTCAGCGTTAACTTTTTTCCCCGTTTCTTTTTTCAGCGGCTTTTCATTTCAGCAGATAAAGCAAGACTGATGTAATATTGTTCCAGCATGGTCATTAATAACCTACCGTGGTCTCGTTTCCTCCTGATTGCTCATCAGTCTTCATCATTACAAACTCCATGTTGCTGGGGTCTTCTCTCACTGCTGTCTGCAAGAATGAGATTTTGGATTAACCGAATTTATAGTTATCTCTTTGTAAAGAGCTACACTAGTGGGAAAATGACAGAGGTAGGGCAATCACAGGTTCATCAAGGAACTATCAGTAACCATTTGAAGGATATGTTAGATACTGACTGGATTTTTGTATTGTCTTAAAATAGGTTTATTTAATAATTCAGTCGAGGTGCATTTCATAATTATAATTACCCAACAGGGATGAGATGGGATGGGATGGGATGGAATAGATGGAATGGGATAGAACAGAACAGAACAGATGGAATGGGATAGATGGAATGGGATAGATGGAATGGGATAATAGAATAGAATAGAATAGAATAGAATAGAATAGATGGAATGGGAGAATAGAATAGAATAGAATAGAATAGAATAGATGGAATGGGATAGAATAGAATAGAATAGAATAGAATAGAATAGAATAGAATAGAATAGAATAGAATAGAATGGGATGGGATGGGATGGGATAGAATAGAATAGAATAGAAAATATGGAATGGAATAGAGTAAAGTAGAGAAATGAAGAATAGAATAGAATAGAATAGAATAGAATCATGAACAAGAACAGAATAGAATAGAATAGCAGTTGGAAGGGACCTTGGAGGTCATCTAGTCCAACCCCCTACTCAAACAGGAGACCCTATGCCATTTCAGATAAATGGTTGT